ATCAGGCACTGGTTTCTCAGATAAGAGACCAAAAGTACAAGCAACGAAAGAAAAAAATAGACAAATTGGACTTCATCAAAAGTACTCTGAGCTTCAAAGAACACTTTCAAGAAAGTGAAAAGACAGTTCACAAAATGGGAGAAATATTTGCAAATCATGTATCTGATAAGAGATTTGTGTCTGTAATATATAAAGAATCCTCACAACTCAACAATAAAAAGACAAATACCCAATTTTAAAAATACCCAATTTAAAAATGGGAAAAGGATCTTAAAAGACATTTCTCCAAAGAAAATATACAAGTGGCAATAAGCACTTGAAAAGATGCTCAAAAATCACTAGATAAAGGAAATGCAAATCAAAATCACAATGAGATACTTCATCTTCTACAAGGATGGCTATCATCAAAAAGATAGACAGTAACAAATGTTGAGAATGTGGTTAAACTAGAACCCTAATAACTGCTGGTAGAAATGTAAAATGGTGCATCCTCCTTGGAAAAGAGTTCGACAGTTCCTAAAAAGTTAAACAGAGTTGTCAGATGACCCTAGGGGTAGAAATTCTTCTCCTAGGTATATATCTAAGGGAACTAAACACTTATGTCTAAACACAAAACTTGTACACATGTGTTCATAGAAGCTTTATTCATATCAGCCAGAGCGGAAACAACCCAAATGTCCATCAACAGACAAATGGATAAATCAAATGTGTATATCCATACAGTGGAATATTATTCAGCCATGAAACTGACACACGTTACAATGTACATGAATCTTGAATACACTATGCTAAGTCAAGGAAGCCAATAACTAAAGGTGAAATATTATATGATTCAGTTTATATGAAATATCCAAAACAGATAAATCTATAGCATTAGGAAGGAGGACTGCAGAGTGACTGCTGACAGGTACAGTTTCTTTTGGGGGCATTGAAAGTGTTCCAGAAATAAGTAGTGGTGATGACCGCACAACTACTGAATTGTAACTACATACGGTTCATGGTATGTGAATTCTATTTTAATCTTAAAAAGAAAAAGAAGAGTCGAATCCTCTAAAATTCAACCCTACCTTACAAAATCTTTATTCCTTAGTATTTCATTTCTCTCCTTAAAGAGAATTCAAACTGAATTTTCCTCCTTAGGCAAACAATAATTTTTAAAGTTGAGAAACACTGTCTTAGAGAGAAAAATAATAAATGCAAGTCTCTATGGTCAAAAGGTTGAAAACCACTAATCAATCTAGAATATTTGGAGAAAGAGAAACCTCAGAATTTTCTCTTAGCTCCACTTGTAGCCTTCCCTCCCTTTTACCACATACTTCTCACACCTCCTCCCAGACACACAGCCAAAGGGAGCAGGATTCGCCTGGAGGGTCGAGCCTAATCAGCGTTTCAGGAGGACTCTGCATTTCAAACACGACACCTTTGATCCAAGATGAAGAGTTGAAGTTTACAATTCAGACAGATATTTCATTGATTTCCAGCTTTGAGAATGCAGGAAGGATGTCAGCTCTGGAGGATGAGAAGATAAACCAATCCCTTGGCAGGGGCTGACTTTTCAGATGAGGGTGAATGGGAAACCTGAAAAGGATCGGTGCAACCTCCTGCATGAGGCTAAAAGCATCTTTGTTCTCAGCGCTACTGCCGGCAATCAAAGGACCAGGGGAAATGCTCAGCCAGCGGAGACCCAGCCCAGAATCTAGTTGTTCAGGCGTTGATTTAGCACCCTGCTGTAGCAGGGCAGGTGTGGGGTTGTGCCTCAAAGGAAGCACTCAGTGTAAAAGGAGCCAGCAATGAAATTCTCACACCCAGGAGGAGGGAAGCAGGAGATAAACAAAGCAAAGGGCAGGGCAGGAAGGGGCTCGAGAACAACAGACACCCGGCCCAGATCACGTTTCTCAACTGGCCAGCTGCTTCCTCACCTAAGTGCATTTCCTTTTTCTAGGAACGTGGTCCATGAGCCACGGACCATGCAAACTCCTCCAAGCAGCGCTGCGGCCCCGATCAAAGCCCAGCCACAATGGCACCAGAATTCATCCAGGGTGTTTGCTGTCCGGTGGCTAAAAGCAAACAGGGCACTCCCATTTGCATTTCGAGACGGAGACAAAGGGGCAGAGAAAGAAAGGGAAAGCCAAGCAAAAGACTTACTCCTAAAAATCAAAGCCATGGAAGACCCTGGTCAGCCCTAAACAAAGGGATTCTCTCTCAGGAGCAGTGGGCAGAAAGCCCTTCCATAGCCAAAGCTCCTACCTGAGGCTGCCTGGATTACAGCAGGCAGTGCAGTGTCTGCTCCACTTAACTCCACACGTGCATGAGGAAGGGGGCCCTGGGACTAGAGGCACTGGGTTAAATTCTCTTCAGCCTGACTGCAGCAGATGCTGAATTGAAGTTCTACAGCAAATGGGGGAACAGAAATCTCAACAACCACTTAGGTGATGGTTAATCTTTTGGGCCAACTCAGCTAGGCCATAGTACCCAGATATTTGGCCAAATATCAGTCCAGAGGTGACTGTGAAGCTGTGCTTTAGATGTGATTAACATTTAAAATGATAAACTTTGAGTAAAACCGATTATCCTCCACAACATGGGTGAGCCTTGTCTAATCCGTTGAAGGTCTTATAAGAAAAAGACCGACGTTCCCCAAGGAAGAGGGAATTCTGCTCCAGACTGCCTTCAGACTCAAGA